GTGGGGTGGGGCAGACTGGAGCTGCAGGCTGGTGCTGGGGTGGTACCAGGCTCTTCCAGGCAGGGGCTGGGTTGAGCTGGGATGTGCTTGGGGGGGCAGTGGTGGAGCTGGGAGAGTGCGTTGGGAGGCTATGTTGAATTCTGAAGTGACTGCAGTCCCCCCCATAGCCCCGCATCCATAGGCCCCACGGAGAGTGAGGGAGTGGGACACTGGCAGAGGCAAGTGCTGCACAGCTAGATGGAGCATGGTATGCAACCATGAGCAGCTCATCTGGGGAGTGCGGGGGGGGGGTGGCTCCTACTGCTGCATGCACCCCGGGAGGGCGTGGGGGGTGCGTGCCCCTGGATCTGCACACAGGGCAGGCTAGGGTCGGGGCAGTGCCAGGCTTTTCCTGGCAGGGCAGGCTGGGCTGGACTGGGTTGTACTCAGGACAGGCAGTGGCAGTGCTGGGAGGAGGGCTATGGGAGAGGCTGCAGCCACTCCAGAATTCACTATAGTCCCCCCGACTCCCATCCCAGCACCACTACTGCTCACCCCAAGTGTAGCACAGCCAACCCCTGCACTGGGAAGACCCTGGCGCAGCCCTGGTCCCAGCCTGCAGTGTCAGCCTGTCCTGCCCCAATACAGATCTGGGGGTACATGGCCCCCATGCCTTCCCAGGGATACACATAATGGCAGTGCTGAGATGGGGGGGACAAATGGGGGAACTCACATGTGGCAGTCACCACCCCCTCCACCACCCACCACCACTGCCACCCCACCTTGGCTGCACACTGCACCGCTTTACCATGGCCACTTGCACGTGCTGCTCCACGGGTTGCTGACAGGCCACATGCCCAGCTAATCTCATGCTCTCGGGGGCAGGCACAGAACACACTTCCTCCCCTGCCATTCAGACCCTTGTGGCTCTGTGGGAAGGGGGTGGCTGCAGCACCTCCTTGCCTTTGGCTATTGGCTGAGGGTGGCAGCTCAGCACCCAATCAGGACAGCGAACTGGGGTGGGAGTGGGGAGGCAATGTTATGGGCAGTGTGGGGCTGTTGGTGCCTGGCATGCCCCTCCTCCTCCCCCAGCTAAGAGGCAAAGTGTGGGAATGCACCAGGGGGACGCTGCCACCGCACCCTGGGGTGCACCCCATCCCCTGCCCACCCACACTCCCACCCACCTGTACCCCCTACAACCTTTCTAAGTACCCTAGTTGACAACCCCTGATCTATCCACACAGTAGGAAATGTGAGGCTACATGCGCTGCTCTACTGCTACTTTCTGTGAAAAGCTGTGGACATGGGCCATTTATAAATGTTACATTTTTCTAGGCTAAACTTGGACTACAGCCATTTTAGTATATACATGGATGTTTGTAATCCAAATTAAAATTGGCTCCAGTCCAAATGAACTAAACCTCATTGAATGAGGGCAGTTTGAATTAGGCATTTTAAACTGTATTAATTAACATGTATATAGGGTGTTGTTTATAGGAAAAACAGTCCTTAGGAACTCTGCAGCTAAATATTGCAAATATCAAACTCAAATGGTTTTTTTGCAATACAACAGAGGTTATCATGCATAAAGTAACACCTTTACAAACGTCATATGTGCCAGCAACACTTCACCATGACTAAGTATCAGGTCAATTGCACCCATTACAGCTCTGGAACAGCACTTTAGATAACTGTCAGTAGGTTTGGAACAACGTAGTAATGCTTAAATAGGTTGATTATTACTTGCTAATTATTTCCAACTGCAAGTGCTAAGTGTATAAGCCAACACAGAGAATGTGCAAATTGGGTCTGTTAAGAGGCTGATGGTCAATGATAATTTATTAACCCTTAATTCAAATTGAAATTTGATTCAAACTGTGTGATTGTAAATCAGTTAACATGGTTTAGAAAATGGTGAGGAGGTCTGCAAAGGACCTGTAACATGGTAATGGTTCACTATGGGATTGCTAACCCTCTAGGATACATGTACCCCACAGGGTGATTGTGAAATTTAACTGAGTATTTACAAAGAGCTTGACATGCTGCAATGAAAGATGCTAAATATTTGTAGTATTTAGTTCACTGTTTATTTTGAATTGGTACTAAAGCTAAGGACAGAAATTATACCTAAACTGGTATAAGAAATAGGACAGTGGTTTAAATTTGTAAAACAACAGAAGTTCAGTGCACCTAAACCACTTTCAAAATGGCTGAAACCAGTTTAAAATAAACCTGGATGGATGTAGTATCAGACTTAACTAATTTAGGTTAAATTGATTTATTGAACTTCTGTCCCAGATCCCCTCCAGATTCAAACTAATCTAGCATCCCAGGATGCTTTGTGTCTGCCCTGCAACCTTCCCCAGCCAAGCAAGGAGGCATGCTCTAATGCCCCCTGGCTTCTGGCCTGGGCCACTGCAGCCATGTGGCTGCATTTCTGGAATCCAAAGTGAATGTCTGTTTACTTGCTTATGGGTTCAATCCATGGAGCTTAGACTAACCTATGAACATTGAATCAATTCAGTCTTGGACTTTTTGACTGTCCATACTTAGCCTGAGTCACCAAGAGAAGGACTTAGTATGCCAACCTTTGTACATGTAGGAGACATCCTCTGCCATGGAAAACTGGTAGCAAAATACAAAAAACCCTAAATGAAAAAAGAACAGCTATGAGAGACTAGTAACTGCAGTACTTTGCATTTTTGTTGTCCTTTCCATATGGAGATTCAAGCTGATGAGCTGGGCTGCCAAAAGTGCCACTTTTCATTGCCTTAGTTACCAGAACAGAAAAATGACGGTCTAATAGCCAGCTGTGTCTGAGTTCTAGATGGCCAAGTTGCATTCATCAACCTTTCCAACACTGCTCTTCAGTATGCATACTACACAAGTCAAATACTTGCATGTCTTTTACTATCCACATATGAGTCAAGGGCCTGGCCCAAGTGGAATAACTCTACAAGATTCCCTTCAGGTGCAACAAGCCCACCCACTTACTCTAGTTGTCCTCCAGGTCAAAGCTGTTGTCTCCAGCATAAGAGGAGGAGGCCCCACCTGCCAAGTTAGGCCCTGCATAATTGTCTCCTCCTAGGGATCTGAAGAAATAAAATAAAAAGAAAGTGAGACAGAACAAGTGAGCTGCCATCCCTCCTCCTCCTGGAGCATGGGACAACTTGCAGCCTGACTCATTGACCAGCAAATTCCTTAAAGCAATAGCTCATAGTCCTGCTCACCTTCGCAGAACTGGGTTTTAGGGTAAAGCCATAGAAGCAGCTCTTCAACCCTCCTGTGCATGGGCAAACTTTATACTGTACACCCCTTGCAGGCCCCTTTTTAGGAAAGCATCTAAGTATGTACTTTAGTCCATTCCTATTGATAACATAAGCAGGTGCCCATATCTTCAGTGGTAGTTAAGCACATATGTGAATGTCAAACTGCATAGGCATAGTTTTCTGAATCAGGGCCCCCTTGTGTGCAGCTAAGTATGCACTTAAGTATTTGGCAGGATTAGGGCCATGCAGTACATCTTAGCAGAGCAGAAAGCTCTGACAAGTGAATATTCTGCTGCCAAAGTAGGTAAGCCAGGGTTAACTATTCATTAGCAGGTGTTTTTGAGAGTGTATTCTGCAATCAGTGCCAGTCATACTAAGCCTTTATCTTCATTATGAATATGCACTAAATGAGAATTCTTGTTCCAGATGCCCGGTACAGCAAGACATGACCGAGAGATGGCAATCCAAGCCAAAAAAGACCTGGCCAAAGCCACAAACCCAATTGAGAAGCTTCGGCTGCAGTGTCTATCAAGGGGGTCTGCAGGCATCAAAGGACTTGGCAGGTAAGTCTAGGCAGCCAAATAAATCATTAGTCTGAGTAGTGCTGGGTTACAGACAGCTACAGCAATCGGGGGGACCTACAAAATCTCAGCAGTAGAGTGAAGTCCTGGCCACCTTGAAGTCAATGGCAGACCTCCCACGCACTTCAGCGGGGCCAGGGCCTCCCTTGTCTATTTCAAACCCTCTTTAATTTGGGAGTGGGGGTTGAACCTGGAAAGTTCAACTGCAGTTCCAGTGCTACAGTGCTGTCTTTTTTTATTGTATTTTTTTCTTCAATGATTTTTTTTTTAAAGTACAAAACCAAGTGACCCCAGGAAAACCATGCAACAAGCAGGGCAGATAAACGAATGCAACAATCAGCCTACCAACATCAAAACAAAGGTGTAGTAAAACAAGGGCAAAACCTTAGACTTTGGTAGAGTGACACTGATTTCCAACAGCTGAGGACATGACCCACATCTTCTGTTTTGTTATTTAACATTTTAACACAGGGAAAGAGTTGACTGGAGAGTAGAGTTTCAGCCCCCCAGTTTACGGCTATAGGTTATATACTTACTAGTTTATGAGTTTATAGTGTGAGGTTGTAAAGTCATTGTATTATTCCCTTTTATGAATTGGAAAGTGAGGCACAGTGAAATTCAGGACACAAAAACACCTGGGCATCTAAGTCAGGTTTGACTTTCATATTAGATATGTAAGGATATGTCTGTAGTACCCCTCCATATCAAGTTTTTATTAGTTTTGTTTTTGTGAGGTCCAGAGGTCATTTTCAGAGGAGACGGATTGGAAAATAGGCCTTATCAAGCTGCGTAGATGAGCCAATACACATTGTTCATCCCTTCCTCAATAGCTGCAGCCCTGCTCCTTCCTGAAAATAAATTAGGAGGAGAAAATGCTATTGCAGTGAAGGCTCCTTCTACCTTCTTCCTCATTTCATTTACATTTTCTTCAAATCACACATTTTTCCACAGAGTCTTTCGGATTATGGATGATGACAACAGCAGAACCCTCGATTTCAAAGAATTCATGAAAGGATTAAATGATTATGCTGTCATGATGGACAAGGAAGAAGCACAAGAGCTTTTCAGGATGTTTGATAGAGATGGCAGTGGAACAATAGACTTTGATGAATTTCTCATAACATTAAGAGTAAGTTCATGATCACGGCGCTTTGTTATTACAGAGATGCAAAAAAAAGAAAAGAAAAGAAAAAAGATCTGAACCTAGTAAGGTAGTTTGTCAGTACAGACCTGTCATTTCCTTCAGTAACAGTGGTATCTACAGCAATGTTAAGGAGACAACTTCCATTTGAAAAATTCCACTTTTATCTAAGTTACATGAGCTTTAAGATGGCTTTGCTACTTAGGCTACTTACTTGGGGCTCAGAAAATCGGGGTTTTCTCCCAGCTCCAGCTTCTGTGGTCAAGTTATCTAATATTTTGGGGCTGCAGGCCTGCATCTCTAACATGCTGATAAGTCTTCCTTTGTCTTTCTTCTCTGATTATATTGTGTGTTCATCCATGTAGGGCTGTCTCTCATTATGGACCTCTGATCTATGGACTGCTACAATGTAAAAGTAATTAAAACAAAGATAATATTTTGTGCCTTTTTCAAGTGATATTTAAAATCATTAGAACAAAAGGATATTATAGGAATCATTTCACTTCTGTTTGCAATTTGTTTACTTTGCACTTGATAGAAGTATGAGTACCCTCCATTAAATTGCTTTGGTGAGGCTGAATTGCACTTTCTCTCTCATTCATTTGTCCAATAAGACCACTCTCACACTTGGCTGTGGTTGGAATACCCTATCTCCCAGGAAGAGCAGTAGTAAAGCTGCTTGAAGATAATATTGGACAGGTTAGCAGCAGATAAGGATTAATTTATTACTGTTTTCTTCCAGCCTCCAATGTCCAATGCCAGAAAAGAGGTCATCATGCAGGCATTTAGGAAGTTTGACAAAACAGGTGATGGTGTTGTAACCATTGAAGACTTACGAGGGGTCTATAATGCACGGCATCATCCCAAATACCAGAATGGAGAATGGACAGAAGACCAAGTTTTTAGGGCTTTTTTAGATAATTTTGATTCGCCCTATGACAAAGATGGGAAGGTAAGTGAAATAGCTTGTGTCACCCAAAAAGAGCTCCACTTGATTCCTATCTGACATTGTTACATGTGAAAACAGTCATAAGCAATTTTCAGCATTGTGCTCTTCCTTTTGTCCTAAGATCTTTAATGAAAATAGTCAACAAGACTGGTCCCCAAACTAATTCTTTAAGAACTCCACTGGTAATTTCCACGCTTTCGTTCTTTCCTGTTTTAGACCACAATGGGGATTTTGGTTACCACCTGTTCCAGTTACTGGCCTCAACAATGTTTTCTACTCGAGAAGCCTTTTCAACACTTTTCTAATGCTGATGGCTATAGAAAAGTCAGTTCCAGAACATAGTTCTTTTGTTTAGAAGTTCTTTGGCTAACCCACTAGACCACAGGTCCTGAGCAACAAACTTGACCTCTCTGTACTAGAATCTGATCTCAGCCACAATGTTGGTATAAAGCTCTGAAGCCTGACCTCAAGTTTAAAAACATCCTGTTATTTGAAACAGGGACAGGGTTCCTGAGTAAGTACAGAGGGCCTAGCCTGGTGTTTTTAACATCAGGTTTCAGATCAACAAGATTCGTGTAACTGTGTGACAAGGATTGCTGACTCCAGGCAAAATTCTTCTTCCTAAGTGCCTTAATGCTGAGTTTTGCCAAAAAAGCATCTTTGCCCCATGGTCTTGCTGAATTCTTGGAGATGGCCAGGCTTAGCAGTATGGGTTATTTGCTTATAATCAGTAGAACAGACTGTAAGGTCTGGTTTTCCCATTCAGCAAATATTTTAGCTGTTTGTCAGCTAAAATGTGTGGAACAATGGGAATTCCGGGGTCATATACCTTGATATATGAAGTGAGAGGGCAGGAATTTCTTTGGGTGATGTCTTTTATCGGACCAACTTTCAAATGCAAGACATTCTTTGCCCATTTAGATAATTCTTCAAAGAATGTCTTGCATTTGAAAGCTTGTCTAACTTTTTTTCAGCTACATAGTTGATCCAATAAAACATAACATCCTAAGAAATTCTTGCCTTCCACATATTTTCTGGACCATCACTGCTACAAAATTACTCTGACGCATTATATAGGATAGCTTTATTCAGAGTATTCTATAAACAATCCAAGTATTAAAGCTTCACAAAAAGTATGTACAATTCATATGACTGAGGGAATGGAAATATATTTCTTCATGCCATCAATGCCATGGCAGTACAAAGAGCAGGAAGTTTAGGCTAATTGTTTTTATAAAAGGATTCAGTCCTGCAGCGCATATCAAAATAAGAAACGCTCCCCTGGGTTTAGAAGCCTGTTTGTTTCTGCTCTGAAGAACGTTACTTCTTACTGGATAAATTGAAATAAAGCTGCAACCTCCTAATTGCATCAGGAGCCTCTTCCATGGTATTCACGACAGTGCAAAGAATGCCTTGTTTCAAGACCAGATGAATGTCACTGAACAAGTTACGTAGCAATGTTAATCTCCTTGAAGGATTGGTGTTTTACTCATTCTGGTTATTCTAACTTTACAGGTTTCTCAAGCAGGATGAGATTAATAGTATATCTCTTTACCTAGGTTTACCTATGATCTTGCCCCATGGTCTTGCTGAATAACTTCTGTACGCAGGTCAAATTTTGAATAGTGGAAAAGCCCCAGGAGGCTGTGGAGTGCCCTTTAACTAGGTTTACCTAGTTAAAGAAATCAGAGATCAAGATCTCTGATTTCAAGGACCTCTCTATACTAAGACTTTTTACCAATGGAGAGGTTAATTTCTGCAACATACACCTCCTTCGTTTTCCCTCCTGTATTAGCTTCCTTCTTAAATGGAAGTGACTTAAAATGTAGCTATGTACAGGAGTTGCTTTTTGCACCATTTAAAATGCTTCAGTGCCACGACAACAGAAGTGCACAGCTTTACAGCACTTTAAATATGGATATAGTGCTTTAAATTAACCCTTGTTAAATGAGGTATTACATTTGAAGCACTGTATTTTATAGCACTTTAGCAACCTACAGCCCTTAAATAACTTCTGTACGCAGGTCAAATTTCTGACCAGAGGAGAAGCCCCAGGAGACTGTGGAGTGCCCCTTGCCTCCTAGCCTGGAAAGTGCAGGGAGGCACATAGGCCCCCACCACCAAACACTACACTTCTGTCATATTTAAGAGCACTTCTGATACACCTACAATGTTTACAACATATGGTCTACATCCTTGTTCGCTTCCTGGTGTTTCTTTACATATAGCTCATGTGTATAATTTATGACACAAAGAATGAAGGTTTCTTTTTCTTTTTTAAATTTTCCTACTTTAGGTTACAACAGATGAATTCATGAACTACTATGCTGGAGTCAGTGCTTCAATAGACACAGATGTCTATTTTATCATCATGATGAAAAATGCTTGGAAATTCTGATTGCATGATTAAGGAAACGAGACTGTATTTCTTGCTTTTTAGCTCCACCTTGTTAAATACATACACAGTGATATGGCCACACTTCCTGCAATAGCAACTTTCAATCTATGTACTGATTTCAGTAAATAAGGAGCAGCAGTAATTGCTGTAGCACACTGTTTTTGGCAGAATCATCCTCAGCTGATTGGCAAAAGGCCATGCCAGTCATCACTCACTCTTGTTTTTTTCTTTTACTTTCCATATCTGTCTTTTCTTCTCTCAGGGAACCCCTTTCACCTACTGCTGTACTGACTACCAGTGGTTCCCAAACGTGTCCTTACATCTACTGAATAAGATGCAGCTGTGTTTCTCAGGAGGTGGAATAGAAGCGTAGTGAAGAATTGTGGGAATGCAAATACTTCACATTTTACACCCTGTAAACGTAAGGGCACTTGCTCGTGTAGCACAGATACTGTCCCAAGATTCCTTAGACGTGTCTGCCATCTTTTTTTCCCTTCTATTCCTTTGTGTCTTGACTTTCTCTCCGCTCTCTGGGAGGTTTGCCCTTCTCAAAGAAAACTGTCTTACAGATGTAGATGTTTTACGGTATTCTTTTGTAACTGTGCATTGAAATACTTACCACCGCTCTACCGGACCTACCCCAAAAAACTCTCCCATTTACTAAGATGCTACTGCTTGGAAATTTCTATGAACTACAGAACTTTGCAGTCTTACAATTTCTGGCTTTGCTGCTGAAAAGAAAAAAATAAATGAGAGAGAACCTAAAGAAATAGTTGGACTCTTTCTGCATTTCATTACCTCTGAGAATGGCTGGCTGCTCAGTTACCTGTGAGGAGAATGAGACGCTTGTTGAAAAAAGGAGCCTGTCTTGCCAGACAGGTCTTGTCTAATTCTCTTGGCTGTGGTCCCCCATCCCCATTGCTTCCCCCTCATTTGTTTCTTTTGTTTGGTTCCTCTTTGTCCTGAAATAAACTGTTGTCATTGGAGTTCACAGTTTGCACGGAGAAGCATGTATCCCTTTTTGGTCATGAAAGCACCACAAGCCAATATGTTCAGTCTTGTCATCTGTAGTGAAAAGATCAAGGTTTGATAAAACTGAGCTACGCTGAGAGCACGGCGGGTCAGATTTCCAGACCAACTTGCCACTGAAACCAGAATTTTAAGAGTTCAGCTCCTAGTTAGATAGAAACATAACTGGGTAGTCCTGTGCCCCCACTGGTGGCCATGTCTGGGGTCAGCAGCAGGAGTGACTGCTATTTTTGTGCCCCCTCCCTAAGTGCCCTGGTCACCGTACCCACTTGGTTACATTTAGAAACCAAAAGCAGGCTTACTTTTTGGCTTGGATCTATATGATGTAGCAGGTAGGTCCCTGGAATTCCTTACCACAAGCTATGTCCTCTCTGTGCTTTCCTTGATCAGCACCCTTGCTTAACGATTTACTGTGGAAGTTGGGATGAATGTACAGTATGTGGAACCGGTTCCATTAAGAAAACATGTTTCATCAAGAAAAAGAGGAGTCTATACATAATGTAATACTGTTGGGCCCCATCAAATACGTCTATGCACATAAGTATAAAGGTGGCTTATGTGAAAGATATATATGCCCTCAGCTACAGCCTTTTCAAAGGTTGGCAGTTATACGTAACCAATTTTTTTTTAAATTAATTTATCTATTAGTTCTGTAACAAGACTTACATTCTCTACTATGAATGTTTTAAATAAAAATATAACCTTAGTGGACTGTGAGAATTATAAAGTGAAAAGCATGTACCTTTCCCCAGGTCCACAAGTTTGTTGTGCTGACATTTAATCAAGTGAACTGAAATGTTTTAATAATCTTAACCAGCTTGTCTGTTTAATTCTAATTGTATAAAGGTGACGAACAGTCACTCAATTCCAAACACAATCCACCTTTTCAGAAGCAACTGTTTCTTCAAAACAGGTGAAAAGCACTGATAGTCCCAAACCTGTTGGTCCTGTCCCCAGCCAGTAAGGACCATGGGGCGCATCCAGATGAGCACAGTCATTTGGTTCCCTGGGGACGAGAAGCATCAGTGAACCTTGTGCCACTGCTTCTTGTCCTTGGGGCATGCTCGTGCCACATGCCCTCTGGCACACAGCAGGTGCCCCAGGTAGGGGAGGGGAGGCTGGGGCCAGCAACTGTGCTGTCCCCAGCAGCCTTGCCTGGGGTCCTGGGGGCAAGGGAAGCTGCAGCTGTGGTGCTCCTGCAGCTTGGAGGCTGCCCAGCAGCTGGAGTGTGGCTTTGGCAGGCCAGGCTCTGGTTTGGGGCAGCGCGTGCTGCAGCCATGTGCACTGCCCACATTTTTAAGCCACAAAATGGACATAAATACAACTCCCATGGCTGTTTCTCTGATAGGCAAATCTTTCTAAGCCCCTTCTAGAAATCATTTGTTATAATTAGCTAACCCCTAGCACTTAGTGCAGAACTGATTACTAATGGCCTGAATCAGATCCCTTGATGTCAATAGCAAATCTCCCATTTATTTCAGTGGCCAAACAAATGCTCTGGCCGTCACATTTTCAAAGCAAATCATGTAATCTCTGAGAAAGTATGTTGTACTCAGGACAAACAAATTTGGGAAAAGGTTGATCTGAAATATTTTTTTTACCTTTTAGCAAATATATAAAAGGTGCAAATAAATGGAGTTTTGTTTTCAGATGTGCCAAATCCTAGGACAAATATGATCATCAGCATGCTGGCTGGTAATCAGGAACAGTTCTACCTGACGGCCATGTACTGCCACCCCTGATTTCCAGGCAGAAGTTTTACTGACTTTAATAGAATTCAGTGCACAGACAGATCAAAGCCAGCTTGGGTCTAAGCACTGAATCAGGACTCAGGTGCTGTTATGACTAATACCGTGTGCTTGGAGCCAGCAGCAGACTCTAGCATTGCTCTGTCTTGTTCCACTAAAAATGCAGTGCTACAGAAAATGATAACAGTAGTTGGTCTGAACGAAGCAAAATCCATTAAACAGCCTCTGCTAAACTGGTGGGGTTTGTTTGCTTTGGTTTCAAGACAGTAAACACTGGTACTAAACAGATGCTGTAGATATGGCTGTAGATATCTACTAGAACTCAGTACTGCTTTTTGCACAGCACCAGAGATTGGAAGATATGTGACGACGCATGTCAGCTTATCTGGCACTGGAATCAATATTCTACAATCTTATTTAGCACTTTACACCGTGGCATCTTTTTTTATTTCCGATCATGAAAGACAAGGTAAACAGGATGGCATAAATTGACAGAGAGGTAGTGAGCTGTGTTTCAGATGGAGGCTTGTCACGTTTTTGGTCGACACGTGGAAGTCTCACCGATGCCAGCAGGGCTGGGCCTCTGGGCCCAGGGCAGTGTACAGTCCTCAGCTGGGACATAAGGTGCTGCGGAGAATCTCTGTAGACAAGACTTCTGTGCAAGGAGCCCAGGGGCTGATGTTCTGGCTGAATCTTCTATTAATGCACAGGGGAAGCAGATTGTTTCTCCTTCCCCCTACACCTCTGTGTGCAAACGTCACATCTTAAAGACAGCACAGTACATAAGAGGAGCAAAGCTAGGGAGCAGTTGCCTTACACAGAATACTCCCCCAGGAAAACTTGATTTACACACAAAAAACACAGAGAACAGTGGTGTTGGTTCAGGCAGTATTGACTTGAGTGCTACAGCTGTGCATCTGTGAGAGATGACAACAGTGAGTAACAGAGAAGTAGGGATAATGGCAGCAGAGCCCAACAGAGCCATTCTATTTGCTATGCAGGAGGGCCTGGATATCCGCTAGAAACAGACCCATCAGCCAACATGGAAGCCCCAACACCAAAATTCATCCATTGACCCTTGGCTCCTTACTGCCCGCCATGATGTAGCCCCAAATCCTTCAACAGTAGTGAAACTTGCAGCATCTCCCCTTTCATGTTCCTCTAAATACAAAAGACTAGAAGAAGCCTGATGGGCCATCCCTCAGCCCCAATATGTAATACACTTATTCCAGTCAAGATACCATGTTGTATCAGAATCTGACTTACAAACCAGATGTTCCCTAGTTTAGACTGAGTCATAGTCTTGAATATGATTATTCAAGCTAGCCTCTGACATCAAGCAGCCACAAAACTGGCAGGTCAAACCAGGAGGGGTTTCTCTTGCCTATGAAATTCCTTGGGCAGTGCAATTACCATCTTAATGTCTCTTCTATCAGCCCTTTTTGCATCCAGTTCAGGAGGTGTCTATGAGTGAAAAGGGCTTCCTAGTCGTCTGTGACAACAGTGTCAAACATGAAGCTACTCTAATTTGCACCAGGAGCTCAGTCCAGTTCTGAGCATTTTCATCAACTTTGCCCCCAAATGAAGAAGGAATACTATTAGCTCTCCTGTTGCTGGATGAAGCACCGTTTTACAGCACCACAGGATGTAGAAAGAGAGACACTGAATCTGGATCTAGGTCTGGAGAACACTTGTCCAATGGAAAAATGGGCCAACTATGAGCCAACGCTGAGCAGTCTCATAGACTTCAGCGGAGCATTGCTTGAGGCTCGGCGACAGGATCCTGTTAGCATTCAAAATGCAAAGTAAATTCAGGCTAGAATTAATAGAAGGACAACAAGAAGAATTAAGTATTTCCACTGAGTCTGGTCGAACAATTTCAGTCAAAACTGCTTCTCCCTGGAAAGACAGGCTATTTGAACAAACTATTTTTCCATAAAAAATGCTGGCTTTTCACAGACCATTTCAATTTTTAATAGAAAAACAAAATGCCCAAATAACAGTAAAATTTTGGCTAGGATCCAAAAAATGATTATTATTGGCTGACATTTTTCATCATTTGGATTTAATTTGGTATTTTTCAATGGGTCTAAATTTTCTGTAGAGAAAAAGAAACCCAGCTCTGCTTTTATGCCCTGGTTTAATTCTTAAGACCTTTTTGAAATATGTTTCCTCCTAAGTTGTTCAGTTAATCCTTTCATTTCTTTTTCTAAGTCCTGATGGTGATGGCATATATGTTCGATTGTTTCAACTGCATGGTAATATCTGATTTCCAGCTAATGTTATTTTCATTAGTTTGGCCCATTGGACCTAGCCACCCTCCGTCATAGGAAATGGGAGTCGTTTCATTGACTTTAATGCCCCTGGGTCAGAGTCACATCTTGACACCTGTTTGTAGCAATGAAACATAATAACAAAATAGTTGATCATTTGACCTAAAAAAACAGACCTCAGTGAAAGACGGAAATCAAGCACTTGCGGCGGGTTTGGAATGTGGTATTCAAACATTCTGCTTTAGTGTCTGGCGTGGAGCAATGTATGATGTCAGCATGACAGGCTGTTAACTATTTTTTTCTCATTTCTAGGTTACAAAAGATGAATTTATAAGTTATTACACTACTTCATTTTAGCGACGAAGAAATCCTGGAAACTTGAACTCTACCCCCACCCCCTTTTGCTGTTGCTTTAATTGAAATCAGAAACTAGGAGGAAGTGAAAGGTGTCTGAAGAGCGAAACATGAGTCTGGGTTTTTTTTCCAAACTCTTCTTTGGGCTAACTCTTCTGGGACATGCAATGAAATTGCACTGTCTAATGCAGCAGTTGGCCTGAATGCTTAGGCATACTTTTCAGACTTTTCAACAGGTGGCGCCTTGAAGCCAAGAAATTACTGAAATTGAAAAGAATGGAGTCAGTCAGCGGATGTGGTAATCTACTGAAATTCACAGTTGCAATTTTCAATGCAATCACTTGCTTTATTGTATGCCTACGTGTGAGATTTGTATCATAGATGTTCCTGCTCTGTATAAAAGCACAGTATTCTACCACTTTGTTGCCCTTTATCTACTGATCACAATACTAAGAGGTTTGCTTCACCATGAAATAATTTTAAATAACTATTTTAAGTCTCCTTTGTGCTACATTTTAACACATTCAGAATGGAAACCTTGAAAGCCTACAACCAAGGTTCTAAATATTTTCAACACAAAAATATAT